AACTTTTAAAACTAACACTTTATTTGATACAATAGTGATGAAAGCTTTTTTAAGAAATAAGTTCACAGTTTAGAAGTTTTTCGAAAACTGTTAAGAATTGACACGATTTTTACAAATGCTTTTAGATTTAAGTATCAATTACTAGAAGTGATGACAATCTTGAAAATTATTAGTGAACTGTTTATTCCGCGTGAGTTGTCATCCCTTAAAACTTACTCTACCTGTCATTGACATGTATTTTAGTGCAAACGACCATCAAATTTACATTAATTTGTAGGGTCACTGTACCGGTCATCTATTGGTTGTTTACACTAATAAGATGCAGTATTTTTGATAACGAAACTTACACATCTAGAGTGTTCCCGATCAAATTATATGAAAAAGATAAATAAATTTATATTAACTTTTTTTATTAAGGATTTGTTAAATATTGAGGATTTAAGTCAATTAAAAGTATGTTAAATAATAAAATTATGCTAATAATATTTATAATAATCTTATAATTAGGAATTTATAAAATTCTGGCTAAGATTTATGTATTTTACTAGACTTACTGTATATACACATTATTTTCTACACAGAATACTGTATGTAACTTTCAGACCATTATCTTAATGTTCTACAACTATTTTAATTATAAACTAAATCCGTTTTTCATGATGTTTTTTTCTTATTAATGTAATAATTATTGTTTATTACTTAATTATTAAAAAGTAATTATTATGAAATACTCAAATGTTAGTTGAATTCACAATAAATTAATGTATAAAGTGTAAATGTTTTATATAAGTATTGTAATTTAAATAAACGTGAATTATATTAAACAAATTACCAATCTTTAAACATTTTAAAACTTGTGGATACCTTTTTAATACATGTTTATTATTTTTAGACACTTATCAATAAAATACTAAAAACAACTTTAGTGTTTGAGAGAGAGAGAGAGAGAGAGAGAGAGAGAGAGAGAGATAAATGATTGAGTTTTCATTAAACATAACAATTATATAAAAAGGATTGTTGTGTTCTTCACATTCAAAAGTCATAGACTTTAGTAAATACCAAAAGACAGTGAAACCACATTTATTTGACTTTTCACACAAAAACACATTTATTCAACAAAATACAAATTCTCTCTCTCTCTCTCTCTCTCTCTTTACTTTTCTTTTTCCAGTAAATCTATAAAATTTTATTGATTCATATATTATTCATGTAAAGGAATAGCATGTAATCTATTTCAAAGTAAAAATAAATGGTTTGATGTCTTTTCAGAATTAGGTCTAAAATCTCACTGATATTTATGTTGTAAAATGATTGCCAACTATTTCTATGAATGAATATGTTTTACTTATGTATAAACCTTTCAAACGATTTTAAACTCGGAATTTGTAAGAATTTTGTGAAAAATATTTTATATATTGGTTACTATAAAGGAAATGTTGAAAATTGATATCAATTTTTGGTTTATAAATAAAATCTAGAGTAAATTCTAATAATAAACAAACGTTCACTCAATATATTATATTTATAATTAATGTAATATAAATAAATGAAATGTTTGTTTCATTTATTCCATCAGTATGTTCTTGTTATTTAGTATTATTTTCATATAATATTTAAATATAAAATTTAAAAGTATATTATAATTACAAAAGTATACATTTTTAGTAAAAGTATTTAACAAACACTTCTTATTTATTGAGGCCTTAAAGTAAGTTACCGTATTATCATTTTATACAAAAATACCAAAATAAATATATTGAAAATTGTATCACACCCAGATCAAAATTTACATTCACATGATTTTGACTCTGATTTAACATTGAAATTGATCATAAAGTATAGTACAGTAAATAGTCAAAACCATTTTAAAAACTACAATAAAATAATATTTGAAGGCATCAAAAAATGTTAACAACTCATATTTTCACTTACTTTTGTTATTTTCAATACAAAAGTTGTTCACTATTTGTATGATGAATTCAAAAAATAGTTGAAAAGGAGAGCCAAACGCCTGTAGCCTATGATTGAAGGCAACAATCTTTATATATTCGAAAGCATTCGTGACAATAGATTTAATACAAAATAGATTGTATTGAATGAATGCAAACTGAACCACGACTGCCTATATTTTACATAAACACCACAATTTTCATACATCGATGATATTTCGTATACTAGATATTTTAATTTATTATTTAAATAGTACAAATACCATTTTATTCTTAAAAGCTCAGTATATTGTGCTACAACTCTTGTTTTTAGAATAATTATTCCACAATCAAAATATAATATTAACATTATATCCAAAATTCATTCATAAATTTTTGGTGTAAAAGAAAAATTTTTTTTGATTATTCTTCTAAATATAAAGTTTGTGATAAAAACTTGAATTTCTTTATATTATAGATGAAATGCTTTCAAAGAGGAATATATAAATTGGATTTGATTTGGGAGTTAAGTTGGCATTCATTTAACATTTTTATATAATTTAAATATTGAGTTTCACACGATTTTATTCATAAGAAGTTATTCTAATAAAAGTGCAAAGATTTGCAAATTCATGTCTTTTGCTATAAATTCATTGGTTGTTATTCATTGAAAGTGATATTTAAACTATAATTTAGTATTTTTTATGTAAAGTTTGCTCAAATATCAGTG